CTTTCTGCTGCAGCCAGTCGAGGGTTTGCAGCAAGTCCACTTTTGTTGCATCGGACACATAAGTGGGTTGGTGTTTTAAACAAATGAAAACCCTCGCGGTGGTTTTGGTCAGCAGCAAAACGGAGGCCAGCAGCAGATCGGCCAGCAGCTCTTCCCCCGCGTTGTCCGTCCACAGCAGGCAGCTGCTGCTGCTGCTGCTGCTGCTGCTGCTGCTGCTGCTGCTGCTGCTGCTGGTGTTGGAGCCGCAGCAGAAGTCGGAGAAAAACAGCTCAAAGTCGTCCGCCAGAAGCCACTCCGGAGTCGCCTGCTGCTGCTCCTGGCGGGCTGCTTCGCGCTCCTGCTGCTGCTGCTGCTGCTGCTGCTGCTGCTGCTGCTGCTGCTGCTGGGGGTCTGCTGCTAGGGCTTTCGGCCACAGAGACAAGTCCCCCGCGTTGCCCTCAAGAGAAGTCAGCACTGCAGCACGAAGCTGCTTCTTGAAGCTTCTAGGGTTTACGCTGCCGTGCTGCTGCTGCTGCTGCTGCACCTGCTGCTGCAGCGCCACCACCTGCTGCGCGTAAGCAGCAGCAGCAGCAGCAGCAGCAGCAGTCGAAAGAGCTGCTGCCTTCTGACGGGCAAAAGGGTCATACAGAGTGTTGTAAAAGTCAAACGCGTGCAGCATGCGCCTGCAAACCCCAAACCCTAAACCCTAAACCCTAAACCCTAAACCCTAGAACAGCGGAACGCCCCTTTACTCCTCTGCGCAGAGGAAAATCCACTGAATTAGGGTTTAGGGTTTGCCTGCTCTATATTAGGGTTTAGGGCCTAGGGTTTAGGGTTAAAGTGTCGCTGCGTCCACCGGCGGTCCTCAGCCGCCCCAGCCCAGGGCCTAGGGTTTAGGGTTTAGGGTTTAGGGTTTAGGGTTTGACCTGTAGCAGTAAACCTCCGCCAGAATCCAGGGAATTCGACTTAAAGGAGTTTTCTTTTTTATAAAATCCCCCAACAACACTTCATTCCAAAAAGTAACATCAAGGGCCTCGCAGTAGCTGCAGTACCCACAGGGGGGCCCCCCGGGGGCCCCCCTATGTTGGCACTGGCTTGGGGGGCCCCCCGGGGGCCCCCCGAAACACTCGACGGGCTTCACGGGGGTACTGTCTGCTGCGCGCATGTCCTGCTGCAGCAGCAGCAGCAGCTCTTTGCTGCGGGGGTGCTGCAGCAAATAAGATTCGTTTTCTGTGAAGATTCTGCCGATGATTTCGTTTGGGATTCGACGGACTAGAGAGTCGTTTGCCTGCACGCAAACCCTAAACCCTAAACCCTAAACCCTAAACCCTCGAGGGGGAACAGCGCCGCGCGCGGAGTCCTGCGCTGCCGCGCTCCAGCCAGGGTTTAGGGTTTAGGGTTTAGGGTTTAGGGTTTAGGGTTTGCACCCACGAATGTGCCCGGGACTTCGCTAGTTATTTGGGGGGGAAGAGAAGGGTCTGAGGGTTCTGGGGGCAAATCCTTTTTGCTGTAAACAAAACAGAAGTCATTGGGGCCCCTTCGAAAGTGTTCTCGGAGTTCTGGGGGCCCCCCCAGGGGGCCCCCGGGGGGCCCCCCGGGGGCCCCCCCCCCCGCAGCCTCTTTTGCTGCCCCGGGGGCCCCCCCGGGCCCGGATAAAGGCGAAGATGGCATTAGGGAAAAAAGTGGAAAGTGTGCAGTTGAAGGAGGGGCTGGGGAGCGGCTGGCGCGGTGTATGTACACTTGAATCGACACACGGGGGAAACGGCGTTTTTTTGCGAATAAAAGCGGCAGAAGTTGTTCAAATTACTTTTAAAAACCTTTTTATTATCTTTTAATTCCTCAATTTATATTTTTGTCGGGCCAAAGAGCGCCGCTGGCCCACCGGCTCGGGCGCGGAGGTGCGTGTACACCTGAACGGCCGGCAGGTCGCTCGGAAGGGGGAAATAAATCAATTAATTAAATCATTTAAATTAAATTAAATGCTTTTTATTTCTCTTTTCTTTTTTTTTAATTTATTAACTGAGTTGTGACGGCTCTTGAAGAGCATTTCTGAGCATCGACACTCCTGCGTCACTCTCCACGAGAGCCGGGTGTCTGTACACCTCAAACTTCTTGCTGCTGCTGCTGCCGCAGCACTTAAAACAATTCAACTAAAGCATTTTAACGCGGAGATGAAATCTTTCACGCAAAAAAGAATAATAAATCTGAAAATTCAACAAATGGGCTCGCGGCAGCTAGCCGGAGCTGTCTTGAGGTGTCTGTACACCTCATCGGCCAGCCCTGACTGCAATTAAACTTTTTGCGGAACTCTTCACTTTAATTCCCTTTTTTCACTTTTTCTTTACTTCTTTGCTTCTACTTTTATATTTTCTGCAACTAAGGCGCTGATGCTTCATTTAATAACATTTGTTCGGCCGCATTCTGTTTTCAGGTGTACAGACAGTCAGTCAGGTGTCTGTACACCCGAAGAAGCGTCTACTCAACATGGACACTTCTTTCGCGTTTTTAAGCTCTCTTTAAGAAATTATTGATTCTAAAGAGCAATAAAGAAGATAAAATTACTTTAATTGGAGTTTAAATCTATTTAATTCTAAAAAATTGCAGAAATTGCGGACTTTTCAAAAAGACAAAATTGAGATATTTGCAGAAATAGAGAAAAGTGCAAGTTCGGAAATGAACAAACAAATTTAAAAATATTAAATTCTAATTGCGCTTTATTTGATTTGTTAAATAACTTTTCGAGTTTTCCATTTTGCTGCTTGAGAGTAAAAAGAATAAACAGTTCGCGCGGGGTGTACGTACACCTCAATGAAAGAAGAGAAAATAAATTGAAGGAGTTGAGGTGTACAGACACCTCATTTATTTCTTCCGAAAACTTAAAAAGAGACAAAACAAAAAGCCAAGATCCCTCTTTGCGTCTCCTGCTGCTGTTGCTGCTGCCGTTGCAGTGTCGCTTCGCCTGCTGCTGCTGCTGCTGCAGCAGCAGCTGCTGCTGCTGCTGCTGCTGCAGCTGCTGCTGCTGCTGCATTAAACCCTTTTAAATTCAAAGGAAAAGGCTAATTAAATAAACCCCCAGCAGCGTTAGGACAGAGCCTGCAGCAGCAGGCGCTGAGGCTGCACTGGCTTTGGCCCCTTTGCCTGCACAAACACCCCCAAACCCTAAACCCTAAACCCTAAACCCTAAACCCTAAACCCTTAATCCTGAACTCTTGGCCCTAAACCCTAAACCCTGAAAAGTGGCAGGGAAGCCCGAGGGCTTGGGAGAGTGGTTCAGGCCTAGAGGGCTTTGGCCTAGCTGCTGAGTAAAGCCAAACCCTAAACCTCTAAACCCTTAACTTAAAATCCTAAACACTAAACCCTCAACTCTAAACCCTAAACCCTCAACTCTAAACCCTAAACCCTCACCTTCAGTTCGTAGAGCCTCTGCAGGAAAAAAACAGCAAAGCAAAGAACACGACTTTTCTGCCCTCTTGCCTCTCAAAACTTAAACCCTAAACCCTAAACCCCAATCCCTAAACCCTAAACCCTAAACCCTAGACTTTACCTGTCAATCTGATGTCTTGTTCCACATGACGGCCTGAGCAGCAAACAGAAAAAATAAAACAAATAAATAAAAATAAATAAATAAATAAAAATAAACAAATAAAAATAAATAAAAAGTAAATATAAATAAATAAATAAATAAATAATAAACAATAAATAAATGATGGGAGCAGCAAAAAGGACAAGCAGCAGCAGCAAAAAGGATATATAGCAGCAGCAAAAAGGACAAACAGCAGCAGCAAAGAGTTGAAATTAAAGCAGCAAATGAGACGATTAGCCGCAGCAAAAGGCAGCAGCAGCAGCAGCAAAAGAGAACAATAACAGCAGCAAAAGGGGGCCAGGAGCAGCAGCAAAAGGGAGAAGCAGCAGCAGCAAAAGTGAGAAACAGCAGCAGCAAAAGGGAGAAACAGCAGCAACCAAGTCGAAGAAACAGCAGCAGCAAAGTCGAAGAAGCAGCAGCAGCAAAGTCGAAGAAGCAGCAGCAGCAAAGTCGAAGCAGCAGCAGCAGCAAAGTCGAAGCAGCAGCAGCAGCAAAGTCGAAACAGCAGCAGCAGCAAAGTCGAAGCAGCAGCAGCAGCAGCAAAGCTGAAGCAGCAGCAGCAGCAAAGCTGAAGCAGCAGCAGCAGCAGCAGCAGCAGCAGCAGCAGCAGCAAAGTTGGAACTGACGCTGGACTGTGTGGGGCTGGGGCTGTTTGAGGCGCGGAAAAGAAAGATGAACATCTTGTTCGATTTCTGTGTCAGTGAGGAGGGGCCCCCCTTCTGCTGCTGCTGCTTCTGCTGCTGCAGCATCTGCTGCAGCAGCATCTGCTGCTGCAGCGTCTGCTGCTGCGGCCTCCGCTGCGGCCTCCTCCTCCGCCCGCACGTCCAGCCGCTCCGCTGCTGCTGCTGCTGCGTCCTCCTCCTCGCCCCGCGCTGCTGCGCCTCCTGCTGCTGCTGCTGCTTCTCCTGCTGCTGTTGCTGCTGCTGCTTCTCCTGCTGCTGCTCCTTCTGGCAGCAAATCTTCACTTGGCAAACCTCCATACTTTATCACAGGGTCTGCGGGGCCCCCGTAGTTTTCCCCATCGCGATCCGCCACGGAGAGGGGCCCCATGTCTTCTGCTTCCTCTGCAGCAGCAGCAGCAGCAGCAGCAGCAGCAGCAGCAGCAGCAGCAGCAGCAGCAGCGGAGGGAGTTTGTGTGCTTCGGGTTTCAGCAATGGAGGCTACGCTGCAGCAGCTAGAAGGGATGGGAATCTACTGCAGCAAATGAGCTTACCGTTTTCTCCAGCATCGTCTGCTGCTGCTGCTGCTGGTGCTGCTGCTGCTGCTGCTGCTGCTGCATCGGAGTCTGCTGCTGCTTCTCTCAGCATTTCATCTTCTGCTGCTGTTTGGTCGCTCGCCTGCTGCGCGTAGCTGTGGGGCTTTATGGCCCTGATGGCTTTCACTTGCACAAAAGCTGCTGCTTCTCCTGCTGCTGCTGCTGCTGCGCTGCTGCTGCTGCTGCTGCTGCTGCTGCTGCTGGCTTCGGCCTCCGCAGCGTCTGCTTCCTCGGCAAAGTCTGCTGCGGCATCTTCCATCTCTGCGTCCCCGCTGCTGCTGCTGCTGCTGCTGCTGCTGCTGCTGCTGTTTCCCTGAGCAAAGGAGGGGGTGCCGTAGGGGTCCCTTGTGAAGTTTGCTTCCGTGTCTCCTTGCTGCTGCTGCTGCTGCTGCTGCTGCTGCTGCTCTCCTGCCTCTGCGTCTGCCTCTTCTTCCTCTTCTATCTCCGAGTCCCAAAAGGCCTCATCATTTGCTGCTGCTGCTGCTGCTGCTGCTTCTTCTTGCAAGAGAGAAGCAGCAGCAGGTTCCTCTTCTTCATAGGCCTCGAGGCCCGAGAAGCCAGGTTCTGCTGCTGCTGCTGCTGCTGCTTCTGCTGCTGCTGCGGCGGAGCCTTTGACAGTGCTGTCTGCTGCTGCTGCGGCTGCTGCTGCTGCAAGGAGCAGCAGCAGCAAAGAAGAGCAGCAGCGAGACAGCGGGGCCCGCTGGGGCGCTGCTGCTGCGGCGAGTTTGGCCATGATGGGGAGAAGCAGCGCAGCAGCAAGCAGCAGCAGCAGCAGCAGCAGCAGCAGCAGCAACTGGAAGAGACAAAAAGAGACAAAAGAGAGACAAAAAAGAGACAAATGCGAAGCCGAAGAGAAGCCCTGAGAGAAAAGACTCCGAGATGAGACACAGCAGCAAAGGCGAAAGCGAGAAAAGCAAAACTGAGTCCTGCGGCCCTGAGGTGTACGTACACCCGGATGCAAACACAAATATAAATCTGAAGAACTTTTAATTCTTTTGAGAGTTTCATTTGCTGCGGAAGGCTGCGGTGTACGTACACCTCGGCGCAGTAGTGGCTGCCTCTGCGGACCGACCGGCGGCTGTATCTGCAGTGGCTGTTTGCCGAACTTGGCGCGTTTTCCGCCGTTTTGCGTTTTAATTTAATTTAATTTATATTTTTAAATTCTATTTTCTTTTCGCTTTCGTTTGAGCCGCTTTTGGCGCCCCCAGACGCCCCCGCGGCTTTTTTCCGGTCCTCGCTCTGTCGCCGCAGCTCTCCCGGCACTTCCGCTGTCTGTACACCTCGCGCGCCCGTTTTTCCCCTTTTTTCCGCTTTTTTAATTTCATTTCTTTTTATTTCAAACAATTTATCAAATAAACTGCAAAAACAAATCCAAAGAGCCCAGACAAGGAGCGAGAAACCCGCCGCCGAGCCCTCGATGAGGCGCAGCAGCCTCGCCTCGACAGCAGCAACCCTCTTTTCTCTTTTGTTTTACTTCCTTTTGCATTTCTTTTTGTTTCTTTTTCTTTCTTTTTATTTCTTTCATTTCTTTTTTTCCTTTTTTTCCTTTTTGAGCTCCTTCGCGCCCCCGCAGGCCGCCGCCCCCCAGCCCCGGGGCTCCACTTCCCCGCTGGCCCAGAAACTGAACCGCTAGCTAGCTAGCTAGCTAACCAACTGCCTAACTAACTAATTTGCTAACCAAATAGCTAGCTAGCTAGACAGCTAGCTGGCTAGCTAGCTAGCTAGCCAGACAAGTACGCGTCCAGAGAGCTGGCCACACAGGGCTGGCTCGGGAGCTAGCTAGCTAGCTAGCTAGCTACCCAGCTACGCAGCTGCCAAGCCAGCTAACTAGCTAGCTAGCTAGCTAGCTAGCTAGCTAGCTGAGGCTACTCCGCTGTGCCTGCCTGCCCCAGCTAAAGACATTTCACCAGAGAATAAAGAAGAGACTTAAAGGCCTCAACCAGCTGTGTCTGTGGCTGCTGCTGAAAGCCTAGAGGTTAGGGGGCCCCCCTCGGACCTCAACAGCTAACTGGGGGCCCCCAACCCCCTCGGCAGTTTTCGAATTCGAAAAGCGGATCTAACTAGCTGCAGATCCTGCCGAATCCTCTGTTTTAGGGTTTAGGGTTTAGGGTTTAGGGTTTGGGGTTTGTATGGGGCGTAAACCACCGTTTTGTTCGATTTGGAGTCCGTTTTCAAACCACCAAGAGCGTCCCGAATGAATCAAACTATTTATTATTTATTTATTATTTATTTATTTATTTATTTATTTATTTATTTAGTATTTATTTATTTTTTATTTTTATTTTTTATTTAATCCACTGGAGACTCCACTTCGTAAATCCAATACCACTGCCGGCCTATCACCTTCACCGTCATGGCCGTGTAAACCGCCTCGTCCACCATATACAGCATTGTGAACACGGGGACTGCAACACCCAAACCCTAAACCCTAAACCCTAAACCCTAAACCCTAAACCCTAAACCCTAAACCCTGGCGCTACGCCTAGACCCTAGGCTCTGGAGAACAGGCCTGGACTGCGGGTTTAGGCGGCAGAGCGCGAGATGTTGAGCCCCGGGATGTGGGAATCAACAGGAACAACAAACCCTAAACCCTAAACCCTAAACCCTAAACCCTAACTGAACCCCAAACCCTAAACCCTAAACCCTAGCGGGCTCGTTGGATCTGCATTTCAGTTCTGAAAGAAGATAAGCTCAAAGATAAGCATACTCACCTGTTCGAACGAACACGACCAACAAACCTCAAACCCTAAACCCCAAACCCTAAACCCCAAACCCTAAACCCTAAACCCTAAACCCTAAACCCTAACTCACTTGTTAAGGACCAAATGATGAAAGTTGGAGTCCAGAAGAACAGGAACTCTGCCTTCATCAGCAAGTCGTGATTGCCGTAGACGCTCATGCGCTTTCTTGGGAAAAAGGGAATATTCAGCTGCGGAAAAAGGGTTTTTGAATTAAAAAAAAAACCATTTTTCTAAAAAAATGTTTTTAAAATGTTTTAAAATGTTTTTAAAATGAATTATAAATGAATTAAATCTCTCGGAAACGCGTTTTCGAGCAGAACGACACCCATTCCTTTCAAAATGCTTTTCAAATTCAAGTGCAGCAACTCAGCCTCAGCCTCGCGCGCAGCTGTTCTGAACTCGTTTTTTGATTTTATTTCTTTTTATTTTCGATTTATTGTCTTTTTAATTTATTTTATTTCTTAAATTCCGCAAAATGCGCGCAAAAAGGGGGCAAAAAGGAGCAGCAGGCGGGGCAGCAGGAAGTTGAACAGCAGAAGTTGCAAAAGTGGAAAGCTGCGGAAACTCGCCTGGTGGATGCTGAAGAGCTCAACCAGCGACCTCGCTTCGACTCCTTTTATCATTTTCTTTCCATTTATGGACAAGATCTGCTGCTTGGGGACTGGCGAATAAGGATCTTCGAAGTGGAAGAGCTGGGAGGTGATGGGGTAGCTGTAGGTGCCGTCGGGGTTTATGAACTTCCGCGGGTCCCCGTGGTGCGAATGGTCTTGCGGCATGTTATAAAGCCCTTTTAGCTCTTCTGCGGGCGGCTGGGGCTCGTGTTTCTGCGCAGATCCCGCCGCGTGCTGCGCGGGGGCGTTTGTGGAAAAGCCCAGCCGCGCGCCAGCGGCTCCAAGTGGAAAGCGGCCCGAAATCCGCACGGCCAGCGGCGCCAGCGGCCGAAATAAAGGAAAATGCATTTTTGAATCTTTTGGCGCTTTAATTTATTCCAAAAACCCAAAAAAAATACCGCTTTCCCGCCTGTTCAACTCTTGCATGCAACCCTGCGGGCAGCAACGACCCGCCCGCGCTCCCTCCTTCTTTCGCCGCTGCTGCAGCGCAATTACTCCTTTAAATGACACTTTCTGTCCTTTTTAATTCCAGAAAGAACCGCCGGAAGAAAGAAAGAACTTCCGAACGAGCCCCAAGATCACACCAGCAGCAGCAGCCGCAGCAGCGGCGCCACCCAGTGCTCTTGCGCTGCAGCAAAAAGCCGTTTATTTAATTTCTTTTTGCTCGCCTTTTATTTCAAATTGTAAATTTAATTAAAAGAAATTAAAAGAAATTCAGCCGCCAGCTATTTATTCTCCTTTTCCGGAATCTTGGCCGCGAGCGTGCATGCGCTGCCGCTCCGTGTGCTGCCGAACTGCACAAAAAGACAGATCTATCTTCTTCTTTATTTCTTTTCTTTTTATTTTATTTATTTTCTTTTTTATTTCCCCTTTTTCGGTTTCCCAGAACCCCTTCTGTGAAAGCTTCTGCAAACCCTTTTTTAGGGTTTGGCCGCTGACCGCCGACTCATGCGCAGCGCCCCGTGGCTGCAGCAGCTAGCTACAGCTAGCCGCAGCTAGCCGCAGCAACCTACAGCTAGCCGCAGCTAGCCGCAGCTAGCCACAGCTAGCCACAGCTACTGACGGCTGTCCACAGCTAGCCGGCTGGCTGTGGCTAGCTAGCCACAGCCAGCCACGGCTAGCCACAGCCAGCCGCAGCTAGCCACAGCTAGCCACAGCTAGCCACAGCTAGCCACAGCTAGCCACAGCTAGCCACAGCTAGCCACAGCTAGCTGCTTGAAGTGCCTGGATTTAGAACTGAAAATGTGTAGCTAGCAGAAGGCTGCGAAGAGGGAAGTCCCACAATTTTCTTATCATCATTTTTGTCTTTTGTTCCATTTGGCTATTTCGACAAAAGTTCAAAACAGGAAAATAGAATTAACTTTATATTTTTGCCCATTTTATTTTATTTATTTTATTTATTTTGTTTATTTTATTTGTTTTGTTTATTTTATTTTATTTATGGAACTCCTTGCTGACAAAGGCTGAAAAGAAAAAAAGAAATAAAAAGTGAAAAGTGGATTTCAGAAGAATTTTAATTTGAATTAAAAAAACGGTTAAGACAAATTCAACAACACTGGGAGGCATTTTTTCATTTATTTTTTCTTTCTTCAATTTAAATAAATGAACTATTTCCAGAAAAGAAAAAAAGAAAAAGAAAAAAGAATTTAAAGTCCTTAAAAATCTTTTTCAATTTGTTGAGTTCGTTTTGGAAAGTTGTTTCTCAGGTTCAATCCCTTCTTATCGTCTTTTAATTGACAAATTAAATTTATTTAATTAATTAAAACCAAAAACAATTTAAATTTATATATTTTTGATTAAACACAAAACCATATTTCTGAGTTGCATGCACACACTGTGCATGCAAGGTGTACGTACACCGTAGACTCGAGTGCTTTGCATGCGCATGCATGCGTTCGTTTTCAGCAGCAAATAAAACAGCTGCAGCAGCAAAAGAAATAAAACCAAAAGAATTAAAAGGGGCCCTTAAGGGGCCCCTAAAGGGGGCCCCAGGGGCTCCTAAAGGGGGCCCCAGGGGCCCCTAAAGGGGGCCCCAGGGGCCCCTAGAGGGGGCCCCAGGGGCCCCTAAAGGGGGCTCCAGGGGCCCCTAAAGGGGGCTCCACGGGGCCCCCCTCTTTAGGAAGAAGAGAAGAATGCAGCTTTTTTCTGTTTCATTACATTTTAAGTTTTTGATATTTATGTTTTTGATATTTATGTTTGTTTACTTCCCTTTGTAAATTCATTTGTCTTCTTCTGATTTTCCTTTTGAAAGTTTATAAATGTTTATACAGACTATTTAGAATAAATGTATATGCATAATATACATTATATATATATTATTGTAATATATACGTATATAAGTGTATATTTATATATATACTTATATCTATATCCATATATATATCTATATCTATATATATATATAGCTATATATATATATATAGATATATATATCTATATATATATATATATATAGATATATATATAGATATATATATATATATATAGATATATATATATACAATATATAATATGTATAATATATATTGTGTATATGTATCTTCGGAAACTTGATTGTTTTTGTGTTTTTTAAAGAACTCTTTGGGCCACAAAATTCGTCCCTGTGCTCTAAACGCTAAACCCCAAACCCTAAACCCTAAACCCTAAACCCTAGGCCCTAAGCATAGCAGCCCCTTTCTACCTTAATTTCAAATCTCTTTCCCTCTTTCCTAACACTAAGAAGAATCAAAAGGGAAATAATTAAAATTAAATGCAAAAAATTAAATTGAGACAAAGATGACACAAAAGACACGAATACTTCTGAGGGGAGGACCAAATCCTAAAAATAAAAAATATAAAAATATAAAAATAAAAGTAAAAAAAATAAAAAATTAAAAAATTAAAAGACTTACAGGAAGTAATTTGCGCAATGATCAAGTTGAAGGCTGAACAGCAAAATGAACTGAAAAATTAGAACTTTGACATCAAATTAGGCGCAAATTAAACGGAAAAACTTGCAAACAGTTAATTTAGAGTTGTTGGGAGGCTTAAAAGTCAATTAATTTGCAAAAAATGAAAAAATGAGATAAAAAAGTTCCAATTCAAGTTGAATTGGAGTGGACAGACAGCCCAGCCAAACTCGAACTGAAATGAGAAAGCCCAGGCGAAGCAGACAGGAAGACGCTGGGCCGCGTCCCTGGGCTTTTTAGAAGTTTAAATATTAATTTGATTGCATTTAAATTAATTAAAATGAATAATTTAATTATATTTTCAAAAGGAATTCGCAAAAACGAGAAAATTCGGCTGTCTTGCGAGCCGCGGCGGGTTGCCTCGTGCCTGTGGTCCGAAACAGCCGTCGATTGCGGAATTTTTTGGATTAACTTCCCTTCTAGTTTTATTTCTTCTTTTTATTTTTAATTATTTGCCTTTTAATTCGATTTGGGAGAAAATTAATTCAAATTTTCCGCAGTTTCCGGGGAATTCGTTTCGCGCTGTTGCTCCGCTGCGGTGTATGCCAGATCATCGACACTCGGTGAGCGACCGCTGGCGAGAAACTGGAGAAAACGGAGTTAAAAATAAAAAGCATTTTGAAAATATAAACCGAAATTGCATTTAAAAAAAGAAAATAGAATTCAAAAGAGGAATTTTTTGTCTTTTTCGCGCGTTGCCGGCGGACACGAAGCAGTCCATTGGTGTTGCGGAACCCCCCGCGTTGTCGGGCTGCTTTTGCGGCAATTCTGCGTTTAAAAAATGCAAAAAGGACTTTTTTTGAATTAATTAAATAATTAATTTATTTAAATTTGTTTTTAATTCGAATTAAACGCCCGCCGGGCCGCCGATTTCCGCAGGCGGGCGGCCAGCGACTGCGCGGCGTTCAACTTTTCTCGCGAGCCCAACTGCAGCAGCAAAACCAAAAAGATTTCCATTTCTGCATTTTAATTCTTTCAACTTTTCTTCTTTTTCAACTTCACTTCTTTTCCCTTCAACTTCTCCTTTTCCCAGCTTCCCGGCGGTTGGCCGTGCAGTTCTCTCCTAGCCGCAGCAGCAGCAGCAGCAGCAGCAGCAGCAGCAGCAGCAGCAGCAGCAGCAGCTCTTTCCTTACTTTCTGCAGTTATTTCCCCCAAACTCCTCCACTTTCTGCAGTCTTCATTTTCTCAACTCAAACCTCCCGCGGGGCGCAGCAAATGGGCAGAGCCGCACAGAAAGCTGCGGACTTTGCTGCTGCTGCTGCTGCTGCTGCTGCTGCTGCTGCTGCTGCTGCTGCTGCAACTGCTGCTGCAGCATCTGAATCGCGCTGAGCCCTTTCGGGCCTTTGGCCGCCTTCCTCCGGCCTTCCCCTCGCAGGCTGCGGTGTACGTACACCCCAGAGCCCGGCAGGGAGCCAAGCTCTCCAGCTGGAACTTCAGTTATTTCTTTTTGGAATTCTTTTTGGAATTCTTTTGGAGTTTCTGAATTTGAATTCCAGAAAGTTCCAACTCTTTGCAGTGTACAGACACCATGCGGGGGCAAAGCCAGCGCCCGGCAGCCGCGCTGCTGCTGCTCTTTTCTTTTCTTTTCTTCAACTCCGAAGTCTCCGCGGGCCTCAAAGCTCAGCAGCAGCAGCAGCAGCAGCAGCAGCAGCAGCAGCAGCAAAGCCTTCCTTCCCCCTTGCTGGGAGCCCCTGCAGAGAGCTTTTCCGCGATGGATCAAACAGCAGCAGCAGCGCTGGAGATGCTGCAACAGCAGCAGCACCAGCAGCAGCAGCAGCAGCAGCAGCAGCAGCAGCAGCAGCAGCAGCAGCAGCAGCAGCAGCAGCAGCAGCAGAGCAGCAGCAGCAGCAGCAGCAGCAGCAGCAGCAGCAGCAGCAGCAGCAGCAGCAGCAGCAGCAGCAGGAGTCTGAAAAGTTGAATTCGAACAGCTTTTTGGCCAGTGCAGCGCCCCACGCTGTCTCTACACTGCAAACGGAAACTCAAAATCCGTGGCTGTCGGGGACTTTGAAAACTTTTCTGAATAAGTTCAACTTAGTTGCAAACCATGGTGAGAAAAAGTTCCATTTTTTCTTTTTTTTTCATCTTTTTTTCCTTTTTTTTCCTTTTTTTTCCATTTTTGGACAATTATTGTTTATTTTATTTATTATTTGGCATTTAGTTTTCGTTTTGCTTTTTATTTTCGCCTTTGGAGGCGAATTTGGCAAAAGATCGCGGGCTCGCCGAGGGGCGTTTCGCTGCTGCTGCTGCTGCTGCTACTGCTGCTGCTGCTGCTACTGCTGCTGCTGCTGCTGCTGCTTTACAGTTTGGGCTGTTTGTTGCTGCGGGCTCTGTGCTGCATGCTTGTTCCTGCCTCTCCCTGGCACCCTGTTCTTCCCGCTGCTGCCGCGGCTGCTGCTGCTGCTGCTGCTGCTGCTGCTCTGCTGCTGCTGCTGCTGCTGCTGCTGCTACTGCTGCTGCTGCGCTGCTGCTGCTGCGTGCAGGCTCTGGGGTGTACGTGGACCTCGGGAAAACCAGCGGAGGCTTCCGCCAGCCCGGAGGACTTTGTCCAGTTTTTGGAAAATATATAAAACTTGAAAAAGCAAATTCAAATTACAAAACTTTTCTCGAAAACTTTCCAGTTTCTGGATCTGCAGAAAGGCCTTTGCCCGGCGGCTTCAACTTGGCTTACGTCAGCAGCAGCGGGCGGGCCTTTTCGCCGGTGGCCGATTCTTTCCTGGTGGACGCTTTTGGCCGTGAGTTTTATTTAATTAATTCAATTAATTCAATTAATTAAATTAATTAATTTAATTAATTAATTTAATTAATTAATTTAATTAATTTAATGCAAATTCCGCTTCATCCCACTGCTGTTCGCCCACTTGAGCGCAGCGCAGCTTCCCGTGCTGCTGCTGCTGCTGCTGCAGTGACGGGGCCTTCGGACCCGATATCTCGCTGCGCGAAGTACAGTTATTTGATGGAGCCGCGGAAGCCAGCAGCAAATGGCACTTTTGATTACAAGTTGCCTTTTGTTTACGACGCAGCAGCAAAAAGCTGCTTCGTGCTGCACGTCAGCATGCAGAAGCTTTCTGGCAGCAGGCGAGGCTTTGTTTGCTGCTGCTGCTGCTTTCTTTTCTTTTCTTTTTTTATTTCTTTTGTTTCATCTTTTCATCAAATGTTTTCATTTAATAAAATTCCATTTAAGGGCATTTTAATGGGGGTTGCAACAGTTTGGCGGAGGCCCTGGGGTCCGCGACAGTAGTGCCTGCTGCTGTTGCTGCTGCTGCTGCTGCTGCTGCTGTTGCTGCTGCTGCTGCTGCTGCTGCTGCTGCGTGCACGAGAGTTCATTCTGGTTTTCGTTCGTGGCTAGCAGTTCTTCAGCAGCAGCAGAACGAGCCTGCGCTTCTGCTGCTGCCCCTGACTGCCCCGCACCCGCAGCACCCACCGAACCCCCGCTGCTGCTGCTGCTGCTGCTGCTGCTGCTGCTGCTGCTGCTGCTGCTGCAGATACTGCTCCTCGAA